CCACACAGAGTCACCTCATTAGAACAAAAGACACTGCTATCACTGGGGAAATTCCAAGGGATTTAGATACTCTGTGTCAGGAATAAGGGTCAAAGACTAAATATTAGAACAAAAGATGCTGCTAGTATTATCACTTAGGAAATTGCACAAGTTTCATGAGCTCTGTGCCAGGATATGGGAGCAGAAACACATAGACACATTTTTCCCTATTACCTCACAGCTACTATGCAAAAAAAAAAAAAAAAAGAGAGAGAGAAAATAACAAGTGTTAGCGAGGATGTGAAGAAATTGGAACCCTTGTGCACTGTTGATGGGAATGTAAAATGGTATAGCTGCTGTGGAAAACAGTACGGCATTTCCTCAAAAACTTCAAAATAGAATTATCATATGATACAGCAATTCCACTTCTGAATATATATCCAAGATGACGGAAAGCTCGATTTTGAAGAGGTATTTGTATACCCATATTCAAAGCAGCATTATTCACAATACCTAAACCTTGGAAGCAACCCAAGTGTCAATTAACAAATGGCTGGGAATGCAAACTGGTGCAGCCACTCTGGAAAACAGTATGGAGGTTCCTCAAAAAACTAAAAATAGAACTACCCTACGACCCAGCAATTGCACTACTAGGCATTTATCCATGAGATACAGGTGTGCTGTTTCAAAGGGACACATGCACCCCCATGTTTAGAGCAGCACTATCAACAATAGCCAAAGTATGGAAAGAGCCCAAATGTCCATCGATGGATGAATGGATAAAGATGTGGTATATATATATACAGTGGAGTATTACTCGCCAATCAGAAAGGATGAAATCTTGCCATTTGCAACTAGGTGGATGGAACTAGAGGGTATGATGTTAAGTGAAATTACTCAGAGAAAGACAAATCTCATATGACTTTACTCATATGAGGACTTTAAGATACAAAAGAGATGAACACAAGGCAAAGGAAGCAAAATTAATACAAAAACAGGGAGGGGGACAAAACATAGGAGACTCTGAAATATAGAGAACAGAGGGTTGCTGGAGGGGAGACGGGCTAAATGGGTAAGGGCTTAAGGAATCTGCTCCTGAAATCATTGTTGCACCATGTGCTAACTAACTTGGGTGTAAATTATAAAAAATACAGAAAAATAAAATAAATAAAATAAAATAAAATAAAATAAAATAAAATAAAATAAAATAAAATAAAATAAACTCCTACAAGAAAAAAAACAAATAAATGGCTAAGCAAAATGTGGTTTATACATACAATGGAATATTATTCAGCCTTTAAAAGGAAGGATATTCTGATACACAGTGCTACATGGATGAACCATGAGGACATTATGCTAAATGAAATAAGCCAGTCATAAAAAGAAAAATATTGTACGATTCCATTTATATGAGGTACTTACAGCAAATTCATAGAGACAGAAGTAGAATGGTGGTTGCCACGGACTGGGTGGGCTAGGTGGAGGAGGGAATGGGGAGTTACTGTTTGATGGGGACAGAGTTTCTGTTTTACAAGAAGAAAAAGTTGGGGCGCCTGGGTGGCTCAGTCGGTTGAGCGTCCGACTTCGGCTCAGGTCATGATCTCACAGTCTGTGGGTTCGAGCCCCGGGTCGGGCTCTGGGCTGATGGCTCAGAGCCTAGAGCCCGTTTCAGATTCTGTGTCTCCCTCTCTCTCTGACCCTCCCCTGTTCATGCTCTGTCTCTGTCTCAAAAATAAATAAACGTTTAAAATTAAAAAAAAAAAAAAAGAAGAAGAAACAGTTATGGCAGTGGATGGTGGTGGTGGTAGCACATTATGAATGTATATAATACCACTGAACTGTATACTTACAAATGGTTAAGATGGTAAATTTTATGTTATGTGTATTTTACTACAATGAGAAGAAACTGGGGGGGGGGACCCAGAAAACAAAAACAAACAGTAATGTTTGATTGTTTTATATGCCCATTCTACCACAGGATCTATTTACTCAGACTCTAAACCCAAATAGAACAAAGGGCAAGCATATATATCCATCCCATCAGATGCAGAAACTCTTGAGAGTGTAAAAGGACCCTAGAAGTTTCTAACTTCTCTCCTGTTCATCCAAAGACAAATGCTGGGATATGGGAGGAAACAAACCTATATCTCGGGGTTTAAAAACTCTCGATTTATATTTCAGTTAAAAGAGGACACAAACCTGCAGACTTAATATCTTATGTGTATTTTTACGGCATAATTGGGAACATTTCTCCAGCAACTGAGGAAAAATAGAGGTTGGAGCACTAATGTAGCACTTTAAAGTGATTAACTTAATTAATCACTTTAATTAAAACAAAAACAACTAAAAAATTTTTAAAGATACTCTTGCTCCCATGAAGTTACCAAAAATCTCTTTGGCTTAAGGAAAAACAAACAAACCCATGGTCAATATTCCTCATATTCATGTACAAAGCTGTATCTCTAAAGTCTCTGTTTTAAAAAGACTTGTGACAAACAGTTTTCTAGAAGGGACAGTGGAGCCCTAAAAATTCTTTCAGGCCTTCTACTAGACCATTTTTCCAGATGCCACCACAGTGCCTTGAGTGGAATTTTTCTCTACAATATACTAGAAAAAGTCAGCCAGCTATTAGACTCATACAAATTTTTAAATTTCACTTTAGCAACTTGATGTGTCATCTTATTATTAATCAGCTGTCTCTGAAAAAATATCATGCCAGGGCGCTTGGGTGGTTCAGCTGATTAAGCATCTGACTTCGACTCAGGGCATGATCTCGAGGTTTGTGAGTTCGAGCCCCACATCAAGCTCTGTGCTGACAGCTCGGAGACTGGAGCCTGCTTTGGATTCTGTGTCTCCCTCTCTCTCTCGCCCCTCCCCCTACTCATGCTCTGTCTCTCTCTCAAAAATAAATATAAACATTAAGAAATATATATCATGCCTACAAATGTTAAGTTGCTAGATTATGGGAGGGAGAAATTTACTATTAAATCAGAACATAACTCCTTTGTTAGGTGAAAAGAGCAGCTAAACACAAAACACTTCCTGAAGTGCAAACACCTTTCTCTTGTCTTCCTTTTCCTTCTTAAAAATCATAATCCACTCATTCATCTGCAATGTATTCTCTGACTCCTACCCCTTAGGTTTCCATGCTGTACCCTATACCACAAGTTTCTTATTACCCATTTATGTTACTAAAAAAACAACCCTTTACACCATTAATAACGAGAGCATTCTTACCACTTCTTCTCTCACACATTTCTTTAAAAATGAAAATAAATCTTTTGTTTTTTAATAGTTTTTATTTATCTTTTTTTCTTAAAAATTTTAAGGTGTATTTATTTTTGAAGGACAGAGGAAGAGAGGGGCAGGGGAGGGGCAGAGAGAGAGGGAGACACAGAATTTGAAGCAGGCTCCGAGCTGTCAGCACAGAGCCAGATGCAAGGCTCGAACTCATGAGCCTCAAGATCATGACCTGAGCCGAAGTCGGAGGCTTCACCGACTGAGCCACCCAGGTGCCCCAAAAATAAATCTTTTGAATCTGTGCACTATGGCGCCTTCCATCTTACAACTTCAAGGGAGGTCAAGTCTTTTATTTGTCCCCCAACTCTCATAATTTTACTATGTCAGCATGACCTGGACAAATGCTCTATTTTCTATTTCACACCAAACAGTAACAGGTCTATCTACCATATCACATCTACTGACTTGGGGGGGGGAGGGCGGGGGCTGCTAGATATATTAAAGCCAAATTAAATCACAATAGTCACACTACTGCTACTGGGAACAGATGGCTTTGGGAGGGAAAAAAAAGTTTTCCTTAATATCTGATTGGGATTTATGAGTATTAAAGTCAATTGCAGGGGCACGTGGGTGGCTCCGACTTTGGCTCAGGTTATGATCTAGAGGTTTTTGAGTTCCAGCCCCACGAAGGATTCTGTGCTGACAGCTCAGAGCCTGGAGCCTGCTTCAGATTCTGTGTTTCCCTCTCTCTCTGCCCCTTCCCTCTCTCTCTCTCAAAAATAAATAAACATTAAATTTTTTTCATTAAAAATAATTTAAAAAATAAAGTCAATTGTAAATCTCACAACACTTTCTTCAAGTAACACTGTCCTTTAATCTTTTTAAACAGCTCGTCTTTAAAAACACAACTCAGGAGAATATGTCATCCAGAGAATTGGAAGGCTGTTAACAATTATTGTCTTCAATTCACAACTTTTCAAAATATTTCAGAACTGCCCGAACTTGGTTGGTGATTCAACCTTGGTTAACTGGTATAGAGACGCATCACAAGTCACCACCTGCGTTCAACAGCCCCTTCTGTGATAGCACGCTTGCTCACAGGGACCACCTAACTCTACCTAGAGCCCGGGATGGGGTTTCACCAAGGGCTGGGTAGAAGCATAATGATTGTGAGGCACCAGGCCCGGTTCACTGTCAGATCTGTGGTCCAATGCCTTGCCTGCAGAAGGGTAAGTATGTGTTAGGGAGAGACTGGGTGTGTTTCCGCCTGGTACCACCTCCTAACTTTCTCTGCCTCCTGAGGACCCCAAGGGTGTTTCTCAGGACTCTTAAAGGAAGCAACCACCTCGAGGACAAGAGGAGGGAGCCTCCAGGGAAAAAACCAAGAGCCCCGGAGTGGATCCACCCAGGGTCCGCAGGGTCACTCCCTGCCTCCCCGGGGGAGGAGGGGCACGAATTTCTGGTCAAATCAGGCGGAGGAAGGCACTGTGGCTTTGAGCAGAACCCAAACCTCTGGAGGAAAAGAGGAAGACCTCAGACGCGGAGAGATGGGGGAGCCCCTACGCCTCCCTTGAGCCTCCCGCTCCGGGCAGGCCCGGTCAGCGCCGGGACACCGCTTCCAGCACACCTGAGCCGTGCCCAGCGCCCGCTCCCGGCCCCGCGGACGGTCACCGCGACCTCTCCCTGCCCAGCCGCCGCCTCCGCGGACTCGGCACGGGCGCAGCTCGCGGGGTCCCGGCCCACTGCCTCCGGTTCAGCCCGACCGCCCAGTCCCACCGTACCTGGCCGGCGGCGGCGGCGGCGGCTGCGGCGGCGGCGGCAGCGGCGGTGCTCCTCACGTACCCGTTCCGCACTTCCCCGTTCGCCACGCAGCCGTTCGCCCGCACAGGGCGACGGTAGCAGCAGCCTCCGGGCCCCGGCCGCATCGTCCCGGTAGCACCAGGCACAAGGCGACTCTGTAGGCGGCGGCCGAGACGGCAGCAGCTTCAGTCCCGCTCCGCACCCCACCCACCTCCTCGAAACCGGAAATGGTTGCACGCCCCCGCCAATTACCGGCCTGGCCCTCACATAGGGGCGGGGCCCTCTCCCGCGGAGTAGGTGGTTCGCCCAAGGCCCTGCTGCCAAGGGGAAACGGGGCGGGGCCGGACAGGAGGGTCATAAGCCTAAGGACTGATGACCAATCAGGAGGAGGAGGAGGCAGACCCCATGCTACTGTCTGGCCAATCACGGGGGCGACAGCAAAACAGCTTGCTGGTGTTGAGGAGGTGGTCTGAGGAGGCTTTGGCGGCTTCTTGGTCCACGCAAAGGAGGCGGGGCCCAGGAAGAAGTAGCCAATTAGAGTGTGAGAAAAGGAAGGGGGCTGAGCCCAAGTGTCCAGAGCGGGTTCCTGGGTTCTCCCGGACAGGTGGCGCCCTCTTTGCCCTTGCCTTCGGGGAAGTTCTCCGATGTGAATCCCAGCCCGAGACAGGGATCCTTTATTTAATTTGCGAATTCCTATGTAGGTGTCTGTAGATGAGCATTTTCAGCATTCTCTAACCATTCCTCGATATGCACCGTACAATAACATATTTCTTAGTAATTCGAACGTCGCTTGGCCCTTCACATCTGCCCCCAATCAGGATTTTCTGTACAATTTCCTTTAAAGGGTACTTATTTGAGAGCCAAGAAACCTGAAGAACTGAAAGCTAAACCTTGAGTAGCCACTTTGGGAGCCAAATTCTTTAAAGTTAACACTTGTTTCATAGACTCACAGCAAGAAATATATTAATAAAACATCATGCACCTATCATAATGCCTGGCCCATAGTAGGAGCATAATATTATTTTCGCACCCCTTTAGTTCTCTCTTCCCGTAGGGGTTAGAAACGAAATGGATCTACATCATAACACGAGACTTTTGGGGGAGCCTGGGTGGCCCAGTCAGTTGAGCCTCTGACTTTGGCTCAGGTCATCATCTCACAGTTATGAGTTTGAACCCTCCATGGGGTTCTCTGCTGTCAGAGCAGAGCCCGCTTCGAATCCTCTCTCTGCACCTCCCCTGCTCATGCTCTCTCTAGGTCTCAAAAATAAATAAACATAAAAAAAGAGAGAGACTTTTGGTTACCCATAAAGAATTTCGTGTCATAGTCAAGAGCATGGACTCTGGAGGTGGTCTGGGTTTGAATCCTGGCTGCACCACTTACTACTAGCTGAGTGACCACTATATATCTTCATCTGTTCAGTGAAGACAATAATAGTTGTCCTGGGGATTTGAGTTAATATATGTAGTGTATTTTGTATAAGACATGGCCATGGGTAAAAATTCATTCAGTGTTGGTTATTTTTAACTGCTGAATGGGCCTATGAGAGCCCCTGCATTCTCCCCCCTACCCCATATTTAGAAAAGGGATAGACAAGGTATCAGTTTTGTGTGGTTTAGGAGCTGAACAATCTAACAGCAGATGGGCAGAGAGTTTTCTTCTTTGAGTTAACAAACACTGTGATCCCAAAGAATATAAGTTTGTGACAGAAGTATGAGGCTAAAAGAAAAGCATGTGGGGACCCCTGGGTGGCTCAGTTGGTTGTGTGATTCCTGGTCTCGGCTCAGGTCATGATCTCATTGTTGGTGAATTCAAGCCCCATGTCAGGCTCTGTGCTGACAGTGTGGAACCTGCTCGAGATTCTCTGTCTCCCTCTCTCTCTCTCTGCCTCTCCCTTGCTTGTGCTCTCTTTCTCTCAAAAATAAATAAATATTTTTTAAAAAGAAGAAGAAAAGCATGTGTTTTGCACCTCATGGAGCTTACATTATAGTGAGAAAAGATGTACATAGATAAAGCAAACAGCAATAAAAGTCCTATGGAAGGCTGGAGTTCTGATGAAGAAAGCTGGACCGCAGTGACAAGTCTAGTCTTCCCATATAGAAAGTTTTCAGGGCAGGAATCTGGTTGGAAGCAGGGCTAAAGGATTAAATTGAAGCTTAGATATCGGGTTGAATGAAATTGGAAAAGACTGGGAAAGACGATGTAGGATGAGCAGGATTTGGAGAGCTGAGAATGAGAAGGAAGGGGACAGTGTTCCCTGGAGACAGAACCTTCAAAAACTCAGGTGCAGAGGCTGGAAAGAACAAAGACTAAAAACTGGAGCATAAGGGTGAAGAATGCGGCTAGATTAGAGGAATCCTGTTAGCTAGTGCCTCCCTCCAGAGGGCAGGACACAGGTCCTTGTCTTGTTCTGCCACTTACTCACCATGTGTGGTCTTGGACGAGTCATATAACATTATCCTTAGTTTCCGCACCCATCTTACAAAATTAATATCTGTAATACTTACCTTGCAGGGCTTTTGTGAGCATCAATGATATGATATGCAAATGATCTGATAACCTTGCATACCATTGCTAAATCACAAAATGGATGCCTCAGAAGGCAGTAGGAAACACCCCAGGCTCCACGCAAACAGAAAAACAGCTCCTTCCAGATGCATAAGCCACCTCATCACCATTTTACTGAGTTCATATGCAAAGTTCTGGGTTAGGCACCAGAGTTACAACCCTTCCTTCAAGATTGCTCAAACCATATCAACTGTAAAACCTTTCTTGAACTCCAAACTCCTCACAAAATTAGTCCCTTTCTTCACTGTGAACTTATACACACCTGTGTAAGCATGTGTCACATTACTTCTTTGGGATTCTTTTTTTTTTTTTTTTTTGAGAGGGAGATTACACAGTGGTTAGAAGCAAGAGCTCCAGGGACACCTGGGTGGCTCAGTCAGTTAAGTGTCCAACTTTGGTTCAGATCATGATCTCATGGCTCATGAGTTCATGCCCTCATTGGGCTCTCTGCTGTCAGCACAGAGTCTGCTTCAGATCCTCTGCCCTCCCCCCACCCCCGTCCCTTCCCTGCTTGCATGCTCTCTCTGTCTCAAAAATAAATAAACATTAAAAATAAAATAAAATAAAAAGAAGAAGAAGAAGAAGAAGCAAGAGCTCCGTAGTCACACAGAATTGGAGACCCAGGTTCAGCACTTAGAAGCCTTGTGACTTTAGCAAAGCTGCTTAACATCTCTGTGACTCAGTTCTTTCATCTGTAAAATGAAGCATAACTCTGTTGTGAGAATGAAATAAGAAAAGCATTTACTTACAGGGCCTGTCACATAATAGTAAGTGCTAGCAATCATTTTTAAATAAATGAATTATTTGTTAAATGAATAAATGATTGATTAAATATATTTATACCCCCAACCAGACATAGACAAGCTCCTTGAGTACAGGAGATTGTTTAACTCACCTTTGGGTTCCCAGCACCCAGTACAGTGCCTGGAACATACTAAATGCTCAAGAAATGTCGGATGAATAATAAATAAATGGACAAATGAATGAAAATCTGGCCCTGCCTCCAAGGAGCTTTCTATCATCACATGGAGACTGTATTAAGATTCTTATGATTGAGGCTAATATAAGTCAATATTAGAAAACTTTGTCAAGAAAGGTACATTTATTGGAATTCTCCTCATGATAGGGAAGTGTGGGGACTCAGGAAAAAAATCCCAAACATCAGCAACAGAAACTTATAGACCTTCCTCCTAGCACCAACCCACTTCTGAGGCTTAGCTCTCAGCAACCGACCCCTTTCAAATTCCCTAGGTCAAATTTATAAAATGCCAGGGAAGAGAAATCTAATTGGCCCAGCTTAGGGTGAGATGTCTAATGCTTGACCAAAAACATTAGACATGGTGGCCAAAGCACAAGTCCAAGCTGCTGGAGGTGAGGAACCAGTTACAGAGAAAGAAGAATCAGTGCAGAGAAGAAAGGACAACCCTATCATTGTCTGCTACAAGGAGATAGAACTTGGGAATGAAAAGAACCGATAACAATCACTTGGAAGAAGTATTGAAGGAGGAGGCTTCCGGTATAGCATTTGTTTGTATGTGTGTATGTATGTATGTATGTGTAAGCAGGCTCTACACCCAGTGTGGGGCTCAAACTCACAACCCTGAGATCAAGAGTCACTTGTTCTACTGAATGCCCGGGTATGGCATTTTTAAATGGCCATGCAGAATGCCTGCCTAGAAAGAGAAGTGAAGTGAGAGAAGGCAGGCTATTTAGCTGGAGGAGCAGGCGGCCTACACAATAGGATAGGGGTCTTGGTCACATGCATGCAAGTTAACACTGGCTGACTGAGAAGGGGATTCAGTGGAAGGTTATTAGCAGCTCAGTGCATGGCTGAAGGCTGGAGGACAGGGCTTGGAAAAAGTCAGGAGTAAGGGGAATCTCCATAGGGCTAGGCAGCAAGGGTTTATGGCAGAGACTGTCTGGTAAGTGTATCACCACTAAGATAAATGATCTCCAACCAGCTTTTTCATCCTTGAGTCATTTGCCCAAGAGTCAAAGTCCTAGGAGAGAGCATCTGATGAGCTGAGTTTAGGTCACACTGGTCCATACAGAGAGTGGTTGAAAGGGAGGCAAACATAAGGATGTTATTCCTTTACCTTTCATGGTGGGAGCTGCTTACCAAAATTCACCCTTCCCACAAGAGGATACAAAATGAAGACAGGTGATTTCCCAAAAGGAAATTGAGGACCTCTTGAAAACGGGAGCCAACACTGGGCAGGCAGAAATGACGAAAATCAGTTAAGACTGCAGAAGAGGGGCACCTGGGTGCCTCAGTTGGTTAAACACCTGACTTCGGCTCAGGTCATGATCTAGAAGTTCATGGGTTCGAGCCCCACTCCGGGCTCTGTGCTAACAGCACAGACCCTGGAGCCTGCTTCGGATTCTGTGTCTCCCTCTTTCTCTACCCTGCCTCCCCTCTCTCTCTCTCTCAAAAATAAATAAACATTAAAAAAAAAAAAAAAAGACTGCAGAAGAATCATAAGGGAAAAGGGGCCCTTTAGTTGTTCTCTGCTTTGGTACAAAAACTAGGGCTGGACACCTCGGAGGTATTATCTGATTCTGACCCTGGGATCATCATTTGGTTTTTCCTTTCTAAAATTTTCATGCTCGTTCATTCATTTTTATATTTGACCAGTCATTTGACAAAT